CCCTGGACAACTCCCTTCGTGGTAAAACTTTTAATGATGATGACGCTGTAAAATCTCACTTAACTCAGTTTTTGGCCGAAACGGATCAGACTTTCTACGAGCGTGGAGTTTTCAAGTTGTCAGAGAGATGGCGAAAGGTCATCGAACAAAATGGAAAATACATTACAGATTAAACTTCGTTCCAAGTAAAAAAAATTTTTTATTTCACTGAACAAATCGGCAATTACTTAGTTGCCAACCCAATAGAATAGTAGTTATAATAGAATTGTTTATATGGAATCTAACGACTTAAAACAGAAGCCTGAAAAAAGTTCCAAAAATTGTGTAAAAATCAAAATATTGCAGTCCGATCGAAATCTTGCGAATAAGATCGAATTCTTCCACGCGTCGAAGATACGTTGAAGAGAAGATGATACAATTTCGACTGCAACCAGGTGTTTCGCGTGAACATCGAGCGTAGAATTAATTCGCAAAGGAGAGTCAACTTACAGCTCCTCCGGTTCATGTACTCGGTGAACCGTGCTGAAATACCTGCCCGTGAAATAATATGATACATTGGGGTCGTGGAGCACCTTTGATCGCGAATTAAATGGTGTATTAATGCTTTGACGCTGGGGAATCTCGGGGATCCTATTTCGTCCCCCGAATCAACGGGGACATTCTTGAAGGGAGGGCGGACAAGAAGCGTTGGAATGCTGCCGACAATGCATTGTCGCATAAACTGGCGAAACTACTTATACGCGTGTATACTGCGACATAAGTTTCGAAACAGTTTCCGGTGAACCCGGGGACGAATTGTTCCGCGGAAGTTCCACTGCGGCTTGCTTTGTGTTAATGATCGTCGCGCTGAGGTGCTTGTTGTAAACATTATCTTCCGCCAAAAATGCAACTCTTCTCGCCGGAGACCAGCAATTTGTTATACACTCGGCGAAATAATAACGGACACAGAAAAATACCACCCGGAAGAATTTAGTTGCAAATCCGGCAAATGCAAAACAGCAGAAACAATGCTTAATTTAACAATTTGGAAATACTGTTGTATTACTACAGTTAATGCAAGCAATTCTGAGTTTGTATAAAGATTCGCAGTATAATAATTCAAAAAGAATTTAAAAAGAATTTTGAAAGAATTTAAAAATAGATTAAAAAGAATATAAAAATAGTTTAAAAAGAATTCAAGAAGAATTTAGAAAGAACTTAAAAAGAATTGAAAAAGAATTTAAAAAGAATTAAAAAAGAATTGAAAAAGAATTGAAAAAGAATTTAAAAACAGTTTAAAAATAATTTAAAAATAATAAAAATCTGGTGTTAAGTACATCATATCCTCATAAAATGCAAGAAAAATGTCGTCAAAGGGAAGCTAGAAAATCGCCAAATGTCCTGCCCACGTGTTACAATGTTCAGTGATTACAGTCACAAAATTCATTCGACGTTCTTCAAGTAAAATACAAAACCGTGATCGCCGCGCGCGTGTAACATCGGACGAATCTGCGTGTCCGGTAAATCGCGGAAATCACCGCAGTCACCTCGTGACACAAAAAGCGGACTCACCTGTCACCCGATCGAGTCCAGCAAACAGCACCAATACGGTCGCCACGGCGACATAACGGATCCACGGCGAATCCTCGGGAAACGTCCTCCTAGATCGCGGCATGTTCGGTCCTCTTCTTCTTCGTCCAGGGTCACGGCTCACCCTCGCGCATGTCTGAAATGAGCGACGATGAATCGTGGATTGACACTAATGGCACAGCGCGGTGACGTTGCATCCTCGCGGATTGCACCGGGTGCATCGCGGTGACGGCGCGCGTGGCGGATCATGCCACCGGAGGATTCGCGAGGACGTAGCCGCGACAACCGACGGAGGATCCTCCATGGAGGCTCCGTTTGACGCGCGATCGTCGACGCCGACTGGAATTAGCCGCGCGATACGATACGGGACCGGTTCGAGAACGATGTAAAACCCGGACCCGGAGGTGTAACAAGCGTTCGCTCGTCGAGAGGGAAGCCACGAGGCTGCGCTCCGCGTGCAATTAAGTTCAAGTTAAAGAGAAAGCACGGGGCCAACCGCGCTCGTAATACATCCACGTCCGCCGACGGATCGTGTAATTGTTCCCCGCCGGTGAAATTGTATAAATTAGGCAGGGCTTGGGAAACCCGCGGCCGGCTGCGAAAAATCGGAAGCTCGGAGACGATCGGCCGATCGAAAGCGTTCGCAGGCTAATTAGAGCGGAACCAGCTAGCTGGCTCTTACGTTCGATTGATAACCGTGCTGGATTATTAGATCAATTGCTAGATTAATTGCTAGATCTATTCGAGTTTTCATCGAATTCGCAGCGAACTCGCGAACCTATTTCGGTTTCACTTGGTTTTGATACTCCTGTTCAGCTGCCGAGACTGTTTTGAAGATAGCTATTCCAGGCGCCGATTTTCCTTTGGTTGAAATAAATAAATAAATAATAAGTAAAAAATAATGAAGAAATTATTACGAAATATCTAGTGATTGGCAGTGAATGGGTTCGTTTCTGGGAAAGCTATCTGCGTTACTGTCGCTACTTGTTGTTACAAAGTCCTTGGAAAATTTAATTAACAATGTCCAACAGCATTTTTGCATCCTTTTTACGATCAATATTGTTTCAGTCGATGGAAATTTTTCTTCAACTTGTGTAATCTTTCTTCTCTAGCTTGCGTAAAATGACGTACAAAAATGAGAAATGATAACATAGATTTTTAATATTTTTATGTACCTTTTTCAGATCAGATGAATGCGTTAATGCAATTTATAAACAAAAGATTATACGACAAGATGTGCGGGAAATATTGTACGTACGATAGTCATTATTCAACGAAACTAATTTACAATAAGACTAATTATTGTTGGACAATATCACGAGAATCCACTTCAATTTTATTCCACGATTTCCAATTATAATAGTTCGATGAAACTAGCAAATGGTTCGATAAAACTAATAAATAGTTCGATAAACTAACTAGTAAATAGTTCGATGAAACTAATAAATAGTTCGATGAAACGAGAAAGGGGAAGGGGAAGAACCGATGTCACTTTCAATAGAAATTTCTAGCACGAATGTGTGCATAGAAAACAGTCAATTTTATAGCAAGCCTATCGCATTATATTGTATAGCAACGGTGGATAAGTTTCAGCTGACCGATTGTTACGGCGAACGTAACATTGTTGCAAATCGGCGTAGGAGTAATGCAATCGAGCCGACGACACATTGCCGTGGATATCTGTATCGGCGTTTTTGCACGCAGCGATTTCACTTTCGACGGTGCTTGCAACCGTAACTCGAACAAATTGGCGTTACGCGAGTCCCAGTTGTCAATCAGCCTGACGTACACTCTAGGAGAACTGGATAAATCGAGAAACACTAGAGGGAACACCGTCGTTTCGGAAAAGAAATTCTATGCATTGTCGTTACTGTCAATCACCGGCGCCCGGCTTGCCCTGATCCGTTTGCTTTAATTGACGTGTCGGGGATGTTCTACTCACTGTGCTACTCGCGACTCGCTTGCAACGAAAAACACGTTCCGATGGATGTATTTCTGGATGGAAAAACGATTTCTTAATGTATCGAGTATAGACGGAACTTTTTCACATTCTTCGGGTTATGTCAACCGGGCCCCGGTAGCTTCTAAGTCTTCTATTCGTAGAAGTCCTATTGTTTATTTATTGGCACCGAATCCAGTGCACGTAATGTGTAATGTGTGAACCTACTGCAACATTAACATTGATAAATTACACACGGTCAGAATTATATTGAAACTTTCAGAAAAAAATCATAATCAATGGTGGGAAACTTGTGGAAAACTTGTGTTTTTATTATAAGAACCAGATCTGGTTATGTGAACATAACCTTGTCCTATTAAAAAAAAAAAAATGAAATAAAATAAAATCGTGAAAGATCCCATAAGCAGTTCGACGGTTAATAATTAATAAACTGTGAATTTTTTTCTATAACGTAGAAATGCATTCAAACGAGTCTATCGTGATACAAGTTCGTTCACATAATCAGCTCTGGTTCTTATAATAGGAGTCCACAAGTTTTCCACCACTGATTACGATTTCTTTCTAAAAATTTCAATATAATTCTGACCGTATGGAATTTATTAACATTTAAAATATACTGTCAAAAGCACGGGAAACCCTGGTAAGCTCGCGTATCTATACAAAACGCTCTTTAAACACATTTCAAAATTTGTACCCCGGCACAATCGCGCCGCGAGAAATTCAAGATAGCACGTGCGCGCTATCAGTTTCTCCGCGAGTGTACCGGAAAAAAGCGTAACTCCAAGAAGCACAGTTTCGACGGGAACACCGCGGCGATCGCAAATTCGCATTAAAAATCGCCGGATGATCGGCTCGACCTTGATGATCCTCGTGGACACAAACGTTCGTGAAGAGTGAAAAGGACGAAGAGGAGTGGCCGGGTGATCTAGTGGGAGGGGAGGGGGGTTGAACGACAGAGTAAAAGAGTAGGAAGGGAGGTGAAACGGGCACAAGTGAAATACCGAACCTACTTTAAAGTAGAGAAGGAATGAAAGCCGTATAAATTTCAGCGTTCCAAGTGCAAGGACAGCGGCGCGGGCGCTTTCTACGGGGACGACGCGATCCGATTACCGGGGAACGGAGGAAAACAGAGGCAGCCGAGGAATCGGATACGCCGCTTTAAGCGAATTCTTTTCCGGGATTATTATCAAGGATTCCGGCTCGTCCTTGTGCCTCGTCGCGGCGCGGCGCGGCGACACGAGCCCCGAACAAAGGGGTAAGAGTTTCAACTTGGCTCCTGCGAAAGGACGACGTCGCCCCCCGGACCCCGCGCCACCGGGAGACCGACGTCCCTTTTTCAAACGGGACAATGGGGCCAGCATGCTCCGAAGATCCTTCAAGGATACTGATTAACGCGCCCAGCCGCCAGCATCCCCGTCGCTTGCTCGCGTTTTTCCCCGCAGCCGAAAGTTACGCCCGAACGGCAAGAACGCTGCTCGGCTTCGGAACGAAACGCCGATTAATCTTGATCGCGTGCTGTCACTTTGACAGCGCTACGTGCACGGTATTCGCGCCGCTGACAACGCCGTCCCGGGATGCTGACTTGGATCATTTTTTTTTTTTTTTTTGGTAATTGACGTCAGTCGTACGAAGTTCTTCTACGATTCTAAGTACAGCAAATTCTGCCTATTTTTTCTTCAGCTTGTCAACAAAAATGGACAACTTTTGGGACGATTGTTCGAGCCTTCAGGCTCGTTTTTATAGTTGCCGATTGTTAATAATTGTAATTACGAGGTTCAAGGTTCCAATAATCGCATCTCCTCTTTCCGAATTGCCTAATTTTGTTCACAAGCTGAAGGAAGATTGGGGAGAATTTACTGTTCGCGTTTTGATCTTCGAGAAGTACTTTGCTGGTTTTTTTTCGTAGGTTTTTTCTTTCCGCTTTACTACTTTTTTTTTGATAATTGCAAAGCATTCTGAAGCAGTCAATTTATACCGCTTAACACTTTATTAACCGGAAGTCTGTTAACAGGCTTTCTGATGAATAAACTGTGTATAAGAACAGATCGACAATTTTCTTTTAAGTAATAATTTTGAAATAAATTTAAACGTTATATTAATCTAAATAATTTCATGAATCTCACAGATGTGGTTATTATGGCTTTTCAAGCATTTTTTAAAAGGAAACTGTGTATAAAGAAACTGTTAAAAAACTGTGGGTAGATAAAGAGTTACGGAAAAATATTCAACAAGAATGTTCGTTAAGCTGTTGTTATTTTTACTGGATTTTTAAACCATTTTTATCTGCTTCCTACTTAGACAGAATAATTTTGACAAAATAATAGCACGAAGTTCGTGTGGAATGTAAATAAAATTCCAGAATACCGACGAGGTAAACGATCGATTACCAATCTTCGTACAAATATACATTTCCATAGACTAGTTTATATGTCATAAAGTGGTTAATACCGAGCAACAGGAAAAAATTGTGTTTAATAAATTACACCGGCTGGCTGTCAGGCGATGCCGGGAGAAAGATCGAGAAGTTATCTAATCCGACCTTAATGGGCCAGCACGTCGCCGTAGAGGCATCACGTTGCATAGCCGTGGAGGAGAAATATGACAGAACGACTCGATGATATCCGCTCACCGAGAAGATTCTAAACAGCGTAGCGACAGATATACCCCCCCGGACCGATGACGAACAGGTTAAACTTTCGCTCAATTACGTGTTTCAGTTGCGCGAGTGAACGGTATCTTAATGGAGCCAGCGCACGCCTTGAACCCTCGTGGTGTTGTGCAGCGAACAGAACCGCGCGCGGCGTGTTAAACAACACGTCAAATCGGGGAGCCATTACGGTTTCCTGGCTCTGGTGAACGTTCAAATATTTATTTATACGGGACGCCCGGGCCGTTTAATAAATCGCGCCAATTAGGAGGCGCGAAGACGCGTGATTCAGTGAACATCGAAAATGACGTGGAAAAAGGATGCGGACAACTGTTTCCAGCGATAATGATCCCCGATTGTGTGGTGCACAAACGTGCGTCCGACTCGGCCGAGACTAAAAGTTCGAAGTCAAACAATTTGCACGGACTACTTGCGCGATCTTATCAATGAGACGCGTGAAATTTGTTGAAGAACGAAGCATTCGTTTGAGAAAACTGGAGCGTACGTATTTTTATTAATGATACCGTACGCGTGTAATCAATCTGTCCGGTTGGTCAAGCCGTTGCTTAATGAATGCGAACTTTCTGAATTTTTAAACAAGGCGCGAATGATCGAAAGAGACCGGAATGAAAGCTCTGTTCAAATTGAACATTGTTTGATATTATAATATTATTATGATTATGATATTATATTGCGAACTTTCTGAATTTTTAAATAAGGCGCGAATGATCGAAAGAGACCGGAATGAAAGCTCTGCTAAAATTGAACGTCGTTTAATATTACAATATTATTATGATTATAATATTATATTGCGAACTTTCTGAATTTTTAGATAAGGCGCGAATGATCGAAAGAGACCGGAATGAAAGCTCTGTTTAAATTGAACATCGTTTAATATTATAATATTATTATGATTATAATATTATATTGCGAACTCTGAATGTTTAAATAAGGCGCGAATGATCGAAAGGGGCCGGAACGAAAGCTCTGTTAAAATTGAACATCGTTTAATATTATAATATTATTATAATTATAATATTATATTGCGAACTCTCTGAATGTTTAAATAAGGCGCGAATGATCGAAAGAAACCGGAACGAAAGCTCTGTTCAAATTGAACATCGTTTAATATTATAATATTATTATGATTATAATATTATATTGCGAACTTTCTGAATTTTTAAATAAGGCGTGAATAATCGAATGAGACCGGATTGAAAGCTCTGTTAAAATTGAACATCGTTTAATATTATAATATTATTATGATTATAATATTATATTGCGAACTTTCTGAATTTTTAAATAAGGCGTGAATGATCGAATGAGACCGGAATGAAAGCTCTGTTAAAATTGAACATCGTTTAATATCATAATATTATTATGATTATATATTATATTATATAATATTATTATTATTATTATTCATCGTCCTCAACGAAGGAATGATCATTTTTGTCTCGTTACTTCTTTCGTCTAAGCGAACGAATTTGTAAAAGTGTATAATTAATTTCGCGAAATTCGACGGAGACCTATGGAATTCCGGGAACATTGTAAATTGGATCATTAAAATATTTCGATAATTTTCAGCGATTAAGCCGGACCGGCGAGACGATGTTTAGAGGAAGCATCATTATCCTCGACGACGGCCGTCCCATTCTCATTTGTGCTAATGATTTGTCGGCGCGTTTCTTCGCAGAAACCTGCACGGGCCCGACACATCCCAGGCATTTCTCTATTATTTCCCGACAACAGTTTCGATCTCGCAATTTCACCTCGTTCAACGTAACAGCTGCTGTTTTCTTCATTACGGTATTTAACCTTTAATTGCTGGTCGTGATTCACGCGTCTCGTTTCCAGGCACGTGTGGCGATTACCTAAATCGTGTCCCGGGCACAATAAAAATTACAACGCAACGCGGCAGTTTCTATGGATCCAGTTGAACCTCTCTCATGTTTTATTAATAAACGTGTCTGATTAGCGCGAGCGACGCGAAATGTATGCGCATAATCATAATAAATCAACAAGTTCTCCGCGCGATACGTAATTAAGGGTTAAGGACACGGTGTTCCACGCCATCTTGGACGCTTCCGAATCGAGTTGTCTATTGTCCTGCATTGTCCAATATCAAACACGACAGCGGTAATAAAGATACATCAATTTAGGGCACACCTGACCCGGATTACCGCCATGTACCGGTCACGGGACCGATCAAAGGATCAATTAAAGGTCAATCAAAGGACCCGTCAATTTAGTAATTGATCCGTTAATGTCGCCGCGGGATTGTCATGCCACCGGTTTCAAATGTTTTGAGCATAGCTTTTAGACCAGCGAACAAAATTCTGTTACAAAATTCTGTTCCGTTCGTGAACGACCCCAACTTCAACCCTTTGCACTCGTATGATCCATCTTATGGACTTTAGAATTGCATTTCTTTTCATTACTATATTACTATATATATTTATATATTATATATATATTACTATTATTACTACTATTATAATATATATTACTATATATATTACTATATTATGATTCTACTTTTTATTATATTACTTTACAGTATAGACTATAACATATGCTAATATAATACAAAGTGTCCCAAAAATGTCTCGCAATCTGGAAACAGGGGGAACCATCGGGTCATTTGAAGTAACTTTTTCCTTAGCGAAAATGCAAACCGCGGCTTCGTTTACGAGTTATTAACGGAAAACAGTGGCCAATGAGAGGCGAGATCAGCTGTCGCGCGGCGGACGAGTCAACGAGCGAACGAAATCCAGCTCTTATTGACTCGGCCGCCTCGCGTCAGCTAACACCGTCAGCCGAGCTCGCCTCTCATTGGTCACTGTTTTTCGTTGATAACTCGTAAACGAAGCCGCGGATTGAATTTTCGCAAAGGAAAAAGTTGCTTCAAATGACCCCAGGAATCCTCCACTTCCGGATTGCGAGACGATTTCGGGGCACTTTAGCGAATTCTATTTAAACAGCCGAATAATTTCCGACGTTCTACGATTTCATACTTGCCACAAAGCGTTGCTTAATACTTCGCGAGTGCAGAGGGTTGAAATAACCGCGAAGAACAGACCCTGCACCCTGTACAGGCTCGACAGAAATAGTTGGCCGCTTGTTCAACAGAGATCGCTAGGATCCTGCAGCTTGATCCGCGCGGAAGGATGGTCTACTGACCTTCTCTGAGCTCGTGCGTCGTCGTCGACAACAACCGTAGGACACCGTGGGCCGAAGCGTACATAAACACACAAAGTGCAAGGACACAGCACGGCACTCGTCATCCGAATGACCCGCTCGGCAGGCCCGGGCCAGCTCTTAACGAGACCCGCACGATTTCGCGTAGCTCCGGGTCGCGGCCCTCCCTCTTTTGGCTGAAGCCGTGTGTCCGGTGGTGTCGCCGGCAGAACGGCCGAAACTTTCGCCCAGTTTCGCGTTTCACGTTTCACTGGTGACTGGCATTGGCCGCGGTCGGCCGACGGCCTAGCACGTCCACCACTTTCGGTCCACCGTTGATCCCCACGAAGGAGCCCGGAGGACTTTCGACGTCGTCTCGGTTCGCCAGAGACACGGAGGCAGGGTCTCTTGCACGACGTTCGCAGGCTTCGTTGTTGGCCGGCGCTACACGGCGACCACGAACGAACGAACGCCGTCTACGTGTCCCGAACAGGGAACAGGCAAATGGTTCCCGCGCGAACAGCCCGTTCCTATATCCAACGTTTGCCCCCCTTCCGAGCGGAGGACGCTCGTCCTTTCGCTTTCAACGGCCACTGACCACCGGGACTTGTCCGCGGCTGGATCTGCGGACGCCTGGACTCGGTGCAGTCCGGACAAGATAGTGCAAGAAGCTTCATAATACGAGATCTATTTGATGGGACGATCTTGTCCGGACAGACGTCAAATGGAGGTTTCCTGGAGTGATGAAGGATGGGGTCTGCAAGAGCGCGTTTTCAAGTTTTATTTCACTAAGTTAATTGGGGTTTTTGAGATGATTAGGGGCAGTTGTAGGGGCAAATGAGGATTCAGATATGGGTAGATGCTGGCAATACTGTCCAACTGAGCACATGGTACAGTAAATCCTCTCCAATTGTCCCTCAGTTTGTAAAAAAAAAGTAGACACTAGTCGGTGTCATGCGCGTTTTCAAGTTTTATTTCGTTCAGTTAATTGGGGTTTTTGAGGTAACCAGGGGCAGTTGTAGGGGCAAATGAGGAACCTGATGTAGGTAGATGCTGACAATACTGTCTAACTGAGCACATGGTACAGTAAATTCTCTCCAATTGTCCCTCAGTTTGTAAAAAAAAAGTAGACACTAGTCGGTGTCATGCGCGCTTTCAAAATTTATTTCGTTGAGTTAACTGGGGTTTTTGAGGTGGCTAGGGACATTTGTAGGAGCAAATGAAGAACCTGATGTGGGTAGATGCTGACAATACTGTCCAACCGAGCACATGGTACAGTAAATTCTCTCCAATTGTCTCTCAGTTTGTAAAAAAAAGTGGACAGTGTGAGAAGAGGAGATGCGATTATTCGAACCTTGCGCCTCGTTTTTGCAGTTTACGAGTATAAAAACGAGCTCCAAGGCTCGAATAATCGTATCTCCTCTTCCCAAATTGTCCACTATTTTCTTACAAACTGAGGGACAATTGGAGAGAATTTACTATAAACTGGAATTACAAATCTGACCATGGTCAAGCTTGGACTATTCAACTTCCAGCACAGAGCTCGTTCAAACAGCCATAAAACATTAAGAAAAAATCGTACGCTAATTTGTACATCGCCATTGTAAAGAGAAAGCTTCGATCTTGAAATCATGGTAATTTGAACCGCGAAGAAAAATGTTTAACGTGCGTAGATACGTTTGAATTCGCAATATTTTCAGAAGTATTAAATTTCCCAAATGCTATTATACATGAAGTAACATGTATTTAACACGTCATCGTCATTTCACACCTCAGTGAAATTCATGTACTCCATAACCCTTTTTTCAAATAGACGTGTTTAGAGTTAGCATCGCGGAAATTACTTGCACGATGAGGAATGTATCAGTTTCTTCCTCATCGCTATCTGACAATTGCAATTTAGATCTCCCGCATCGAAAGGTAAGATACGACGTGCACTAACCAGTGTAAGTGAATGTCGACCGATTTTTCAAGCTAGGAACACAATTCCATACGTTTAGGTAAACGCGGAAGTAATGATAAAGCGAGATACAGTTCCTCGTTAAAAAAAAGAAAGAAAAAATCCACACGGCGTGGATTTGCTGTCCATTCTCGTGTATGAAAGTTGATGTGCTCTAATTGAGGAAATAAGGCTGCTTAAGTCGGTTTTATTTATTTCCACCGCGTTTATAATTAAAAATTAGGATCTTTACGAACGCGTCGTGGCCCTAATTAAAACTCCGCAATTTATAGCGCGTTGCAAAACGGGCACAAGTTAGACGTGAAATGTTATCGTAAATTAACGCTTTTCCACGAAATCGCTGCGACACGATTCTCATGGTGTCGCCGCCAGATAAGTGTAAGTGTGTAAGTGAAAATGCGAGAAAAATAAGATTGAACCGGCCGGGCCAGTTATAGCGTTCTACTTGATAGATTCTTTCCTTGTTACGTGTATCTTCGTATCCGCAATTAATTCGGAATTTAATGATCGCAGGACACGGGTAGTCCGAATCAAGATTTTATGGGTCGATTTGCACATTTTTTTACAATCCAGTTTAACGATCGAGAACGCTCCTTCGCGCTCATAAGACGTTGACAAAGTTGCACGTAAATTAGGACAAGTCGGAGAACGTTAAGTCGAAAAATTTCATTAATGTAGGAATCATAATTGACATTAATATACCGGCATGAGAAATATGTATCGATACGTCGTAAAATTCATCGGCTTTCTCGTTGAAATGAACGAAAGTTGCAACATTTATTACTACACCCTGGAATGATGCAACTAAAAATATGGTTGTATCATTTCATTTTTATGACAATAATTACGCTTCGAATGTTAATTAGTAGAAACTTCAAAAGAGAGTCGAGAGTCCTGCCGCGTTCTCCTTGACCAGGCAAAAAGCGATCCGATCGATATAATCCTTGATAATCGGATTACTTTCTGAAGTTTATTCAAACGAATTTTCATTCGATATCCGTTCCTCGCGATACTTACGGATAATTTCGATTCTCGTGCGCGGATCCGTAGCCTAATCACGGGAAGCCTGATCCGGCGAGTAGTTCGCGCGGCCAGCAAGATCGTCGTAAAACGCTCGATTGATCCAGCGATCGACTTGCAGTCGATATTACGTCGTGGGTAGAATCGAGCCGGTGGTATTCGAAGTCAGACAATGCCCGCGATTTCAATCTTTTACCTGCTCGGCGAGCAAGAACCTTCCAAGGTAATGCGCGAGACGTGGTCGAATTAAGCGAGGAAAAGTGAACGGCCAGAATCATGCAAATAAGTGGAGAACTGTAACGGAGCGATTGTTTTTGCGGGAAGCCGAGCCGAAACGGCGATGCTGGGAACGTTGGCCGGCCAAGAAAACGCAACAAAGAGAAAATCTAACCTGCCTGGAACGGGAGAGGGAGAGAAAAAAAGTAATCGCCGGCTCGATAATCGGTCTACGAGATTAGCGGGGAAAAAGACGTTCTTCGCTTTTGCATCCGGCGCTAATTAAAATTGAGCAAGATCGCGCGTCGGCCAGCTTCTCGGAACGATTAACGCTAACTTTACGGCAATCGGTGTGTGTTACGATTATACGTGAAAGTGTTATCTTTCACTCCATTGTTACCTCCGACAGACTTAACGAGCAACAGCTTCAACGTGGAAATCTGTGTTTCGATTCTTGTTGTTCGAAGTACATTCAATACTCCCTAATTTACGCTCAGGTTGCACACAAAAATCTGGGAAAGGGAAACACGATTATTTCAGCTTTGCGGCTTGTTTTTACAGTTATTGACAATAGCCTCGAATAATCGTATCTTCTCTTCCCAAATTGTCCACTTTTGTGTACAAGCTGAGCGTTGTGGCGGCTACCTCCAGACCCGCCAGCAGAGGGCTCCTCTTCCCGCTAGTAGCCGATCCGTTCCGATCCCTATATATACACCGAGACTTCGTCCTACCCTTACGTCTAAGGCAAGGGCCCGCTAGGATAGCCTTACCGATGAGTCCTCTAGCGGGCCCCGGACGAAACGTCTCCCCACTCCTTTTCCACGACCTTACGAACTGCCGCCAAAGCGTCAATTACAGAAACTTTACTGTACATTAAATTCTCTGTAATTGTCGCTCAGATTGTGAAGAGGGAGAGGAGGGACGATTATTCGAGCCTTGGTTTTTATAATTACCGATTGCCACCAACTATAAAAAAAGGAGTCGCAAGGCTCGTATCTCCACTTCCCGAATTGTCAATTTCTGTGTACAATCGGAGCGTCGATTAGGGAGAAGTTTCAGCAAAACGTTCTCACGAACGTTTGAATTATCTTACGAACAAATTATCAACGGAGAAGTCAGAAATTAGAATTTAAAAATTCACCAAGATCAAACACCGGTACAATCATGGCGACGGTTCTTCCCCAGTCGAAGGTTAAGTGCCAGCAACGTATTCGAAGAACTTTCTACAAGTTTGTTGTAAAAACGTTTCAGAAACTTTCTCTGATTGCACGTTATCACAGACGAAGTTCTTTTTGCGCACACACATTGGCAGCTGAAATTCGTTTGAAGAGTTTCTAATTGCGATCGATATAGGAATACCGTTCTCTCGAGTAATCATAATTTACGATACGAAACGATTATCGCTATTGTACATCGTTTTATTCGTTAACAAGAGGGCGCTATTCTACGCGGGCTATTCGCGAGACGATGAAAGTGCCGAAGAATTCGTGTACTCGTACAGAAGCAAGTTCATCGAAGTAAGAACATCGGTTTGTAATCGGGGCTCGTTGATAAATCGAAGATAGCGAATTCCGCGCGTCGTAGAACCTGGCACAGAGAATTATATAAAATTTACGTCCGGATAGAGCCAGACTTCGTTCATCGCGAGTAAATGATTCAAGGAGCCAGCGGGGCTTTTAATTAATTTACGCAGTCCTCAATAATTCCATTGGAATCAATTTAGTTCAAGGTGCACTTCGATTCTGGGCTGTTCAGGCAACATTGTAGTCGAGGAGGAACGTGACGAGCCCTCCGAACGCCTTTATTGGTTTCCTCAAATCCGAGCCTCGTCTACGGCGATCCGTCACGCCATGTTGGCGGTCCGAAAACCACTGATTTACCGTACAGGCACGTATATTTTAATAGTTCAGTCCGATGCTTTCGATTCTACCAGATCTGACCGAATTTTACTGAATTTTACTGAATTTTACTAAGTTTTACTGGATTTTACTGATTTTTACTGGATTTTACTGATTTTTACTGAATTTTACTGAATTTTACTCGATTTTACTGAATTTTACTGAATTTTACTGAATTTTACTGAATTTTACTGAATTTTACTGAATTTTACTGAATTTTACTGAATTTTACTCGATTAGTAGATTCTACAAAATTTTACTAGGTTTTGCTAAATTCTATTCACCAAATTTTACTAAATTTTATTCAAACTTGCGTTTCAGTTTCGCTATTTACGCAAAATGATCTCAGTCGTTCCAGTCACATAAATTGCTATTATCCTTCTCTTA